AAAAGAAAGATAATTTATCTAAAAGAAAAAATTGGTGACGCTAATTACCAAAAGCCAAGCCTTCACTTCGTGGTTCGGTAGAGAGATTTTATCATCACCTTTTTGGTTCAGCTCCAACAACTGCTGCAGAAAATCCTTTCCAACATTTGCAGTCTTTAATCGGTTCATTATCACTGATTCAAATATCTCATAAAACCACGATACAATATTCTTCGGTTTCGATTCAATTCTTTGTAAATCAAATGGAGCAAGAAGGGGAAAAATATCAGAAACATTTGGCGTTCCAATTAATATCACAATTTCATCTAATCGCTTCCTTAACTCAATCAAATCACTGTTTCGTTCCGATAAACCACCCCATAGAATGTTTATCATCACTTTTTTCTTGCATGGTTAAGTCTCAGTAGGGCCTATGCCATGGCAAGCGAAATAGAAGGCAATGGGTGAACTTCCCTATGGATCACCATAGAACCGAGCCAATAGGCAATAGCAGTGTTGCACCACTTGAACAAATTCAGAGTCAAATCAAGCCCATTGCGGAATACGTACAAAGTTTGCAATTAACACTCGAGGAATAAAGAAATGCGTACCCAAAAATAGTATGTAAGCAGCTGGGATCAGGAGATTCGATGGGCTTGAAAGGTAAAGCTCTTGATATAAAAGAGAAATAATAGGCAGTTTGCTAGTAAACAAATGGAGCTCATCCAAATATTAATTGTGCACACAGTGTTAATACCAAACTTTCTGCTTTTTGGGTACGATACAGGTTAATACCTGTATAGGGGATCGCATCTTGTGTTGTAATTTTTCTGTTGAAATCCATGAAATATTTTACGCTATTAAAACTAGCATAAACGGCTGTAGACGTGGAATCAACTTCTTTAACAAACCAGTAAAGGGACGATGTCGTATAGAATGGTCAATGAGGAGTGGCATAGGCGTTAATACGAATGACATCCGGTGCCATTTTAGGGCAAATTGGACAACATCTTATATCCACGTGTCGCCATTTTCACGGTCACGATTTTCCGTAACGCAAAAAATAAAACAAAACAAAACCACAACTCGATTATTCTCCCAACATGGACCCACACCTCTCATCTCCTACCCTTTAATTCTGCACTGAGTTGGTTTGTAAAACCAGCTCAACTCGGTTCTTCCAAATCCGACGCTCTTTATTTCTAATTCTTTTCCATGACACAGAATCCATCACGTCATAGCTGGAACCTCAATCAACTATCCATTGTTCTGTAGAGAAGGAAAAAAACGTCAAGAATAATTTTCTCTGTTGACTCTTCTTTTTCTTTTTTCTTTTTTTTGGCGATGAGTAAAATGGCTGGGAGTCATTTGATTCTGCTTTATTTCTATATTTGCGGTCTCGTTGCTTCACTTGACGCTAGTGAAGGTGATGCTTATCCGATTTACAAGTAAGTTCACTTGATTTACTTTGCTTTTAATTCAATTTGCTAGCTTGAACTAAAAGGAGGAGGAGAAGAAATAGTGTAGTTTGGTTCTTCAGCTTTTGAAGATATTTGTACTTATTGATAGAAATGGATACCCTTTTTGTTTAATTTAATGTTTCTGAAGGAAATTTGGATGAAAAGTTATTGGTGGACCTTGGGTTGATTTTAAGATGCAAAGTCTACATTTTTAGACCAGTTTAAATTCGATTTTCACAATTGGTGACAGTCAATAATTAATATGAGAAAGTTGTTATGGTGTTTGAAATTACTGTATTTAGAGTATTATTGTTTGGTTTAGTTTTGATGAACTTATCCTTTCTCGGCAACTTTAACTGAATTGTGACTTTTCAATTTTCATTAGGTGTAGATGGTTATTCTTTTTGCGGATTTATGCAGGGTTTGTTTGGAGAAATGCGAGAAAAGTGGGTGCGTGGGGGAAAAGTGCTTTCAACACTGTAAATTCTATTCCGATGGGAAATCGATTGATGGGCTGTGGTATTTACAAGCTATGTTGCACGGATACGGGGACAGATACGGGACGGAGACGGAGACGGAAAACGGTAATTTTAAAAATTACATGATACAGGGACGGCAAGGGTATGGCATATAAAATAATTTTAAAATTATAAATATATATAAAAAATCATAAATAATGTCAAATATCAAGACTCAAACAATAATATTAAATTTATAACAATAAAATCTATAAACAAACAACAATATTAAAATATCAAATTTCAATATTCAAACCATAATATTAATTTTAGAATAATAAAATCATAATATTAAAGTGTCAAATCTTAAGATTTAAATTATAATATTAAATCTAGAAAAATATTAAACTCAAATCAAATATTATTAACAATTTCTGAGATTAATTGACTCTCTAAATTCGACTCATCAAACGAGAGTTCGACAAACTACCGACATCTTCCAATGAATCAAAAGCATCTCTGCAATCCAATAAGTAACCCTCATCTTCTAATTCAAGATAACCCTATGTTTTCCAGAAATCAAAATCTCCCCTTTTTTTCATCCTCTATTTTCCTCATCTTCCCAAAGTTCGAATCTTTCATCCCAAAGTTTCAATCTTTCATCAATTGCTTCCCTTCAGCAAACTTCAATCGCCATTCAATCAAAGCTCCTCCCTTCTTCCCAGCTCACCAGAGTTCTTCCTTCCCTCAACCTCTCCTTCTCAGCCACTTTCCCTTCCCTCAGACTTTCCGCCTCTCGCCCCCTCAACGGCGGTGTCAGAATGTCGGCCACAACGGCTTCCAGCTACGCTACTGCTTTAGCCGATATAGCCAAGTCAAACAACAGCCTCGACACCACCTCCTCCGACGTCGAAAGAGTCGAAAATGCCGTCCCCCAAACGTCCCCAAGACTCGGTGAAACGTCCCCGGCGTCGTTCAGCCGTACCCTGCCACCGTGGCACGTCCCCGGTACGTACCCCAGCCGTCCCCGTGTCGTCCCCGTACCGGGGACGTATCGGGTACGTGAAACGGCACAAGTTTGCCGTCCCTGTGCTTCCTTGTTTACAAGAACCCCTTTACCAGAAATGGAAGCAGTGGGACTGTCATTCCGATTGTCGATACCACTGTATGGTTTCTAGGGAAGAAGAGAGACGGAAACTCGGTGGAAAACCGGTTAAATATCATGGAAAATGGCCTTTTAAACGTGTCTTTGCGATCCAGGTCCTTACTATACCACCTCTTAGCTTAGTATACTCTTAATTCTATCAATGAATTGCCTATCAATCTCTAGAGGATGCATCTTATTGTGTTGATTTTTTAGATTGCTGTTCTTGTTAGTGATGGTCTTGTTCGGGTGATTTTCAGGAACCTGCTGCTGTAGCTTTCTCTGCAATAAGCATTGCTTTACAGTTCCATGGTTGGATCACCTTTTTTATCCTTCTCAACTATAAGTTGCCTTTGAGGCCTGATAAAAGGCCTCATTATGAATATACTGGCTTGTGGCACATCTAATCCATCCTTGCGATGAACTTCTGGTTCTGGAGTGCTGTTTGTCACAGTCGGTGAGCACTGCTCTTTTTATTAGTGTACTTCTAGCAGAGGGTTCAATGATCCTGATATTTAAGCTTAGAGAATGTTGACAATGGTTAAAATTCACTTTATCGATTAGGAGAAAATTTATTGCACCAGAGTCCATGTTAGGTTCTTAGTCATGTAAACATTTTACCTTTTTATGCCTTTAGGAAGTAATTTGAGTGAGGGTTTGACCATGTTTTCACCATAGCATGTATAGCGTAACTCAAATTAACAATAATGGTTGCAATCATGTAGAGATGTCGAGTTGACGGAGAAGCTAGATTATTCAGCTGCTACTGCACTCATTGGCTTCAGTTTTATTCTAACAATACTACGAGCCTTTAATGTGAGAGATGAGGCTTCGAGAGTCATGATTGCAGCTCCACTGATTGCATTTGTGACGACACACATCTTGTATCTGAACTTCTACAAGCTTGATTACGGTAATTCTTTCCTAATTAACCAGTATCTGCCCGACAAGATTAACAACATTCTACCAGCCTCGCCTCTAGGGCCATGCATAAGTAAAATTGTGCCAGTGCTGAATCCATTCGATTCGACTAAACTCAGTATTGCATTCTCCAAATGCCTTATAACTATTCAGGATCTACCTGAACTTTCTTCCTGCCGGTCTCTAATTCTGAGTTGTTTCTTTGATCATAAATTCTCTTGTGGCTAAAGTTTTTTCACTGTTTCATTATCGTTTATGACACTGGGATTTATTTGCAGGTCTAAATATGAAAGTTTGTATGGCCATGGGTGTAGCTCAAGTTGTCATTTGGGGGGTTTGGGCCGATGTAACCAACCATCCATCACGGTGGAAGGTGTGGCTGTTCAATGTGGGAGGAATCCTTGCTGTGCTATTGGAAATATATGACTTCCCACCTTATAAAGGCTTTTTAGATGCTCATGCTCTCTGGCATGCTGCTTATATCCCTCTTTCATACCTTTGCTGGAGCTTTGTCAGGGACGATGCCGAGTTCAGGACCTTGACACTCCTCAAGAAAATGAAGTGATACGTTTTTTTTCCTTTGGAGAAGCTTGCATATTAACCAAATGGTGAAACTGTATCGAGTAACCGGACTCACCCATGGTCGAGCCAAACCAGTGCATGGAACATCGATGGATCCTGTTTTTATGCGTTTCCGTAGAATCTGCTTTAAAATGTCCTGTTTCTGTAATTTGAAGTCCAATTTTTTAGATTCTTGAGTCTTTTTTGTTGGGGGGTTAAAATCTGTATGTTCAGAAAGAATTCAATTCGAATGTAAATCATTCTGTTGTAAGTTTCAAGTAGCTTGTTTTGAATGCTAATTAATTAGGACAAATCTATTTAAGGATAAGTGCTTGATTGTAGAATCTTAATTACTCTTTCCTACTACTTAAAACAACACATATACTTACCCCGGTCAGAACCAAATTTTGGTCCCACTTTAAGACCATCCGTTCTTGCCAAAAATACGAAGTACGGATCAATGTTGTCGGTTCCTATATATATATACTAAAAATAGTATTCCCGTGTAATTATACTCGAAGCTGAACCCGGTTAAATGGAGTAGCTCCATAGAGGTTCATAATCATCGGCAGCATCGAATTCTTGTTCATCCCCTGTATATCCACAACGAGGAGGAGACATCATCATCCCCGCCGCCATGTTTGCGAAATACTTCTCGGTCCCAAACACTGCCTCCTCGTCCAAATAGAACTCAGTTTCCGACACTTTCATTTTCATCGCCTCCGTGTTTTCACCTCTCTTTGCATCGTCTGAATGCGATGGCTCAGCTGGTCGAAATATATCCGCCGCCTCTGCTGCTGCCTTCTGGATGTCTTTTGGATCAGTAGAAGCTGGTACCGGAAGCCTCCAAGCAGAGTCCGCGAAGTTCAGACAAGCCAACCTTCCTCTAAGAGCTAACGCCGCCACGTCGTGTGCACGTGCCGCCATCTCCTCGGTAGGAAATGTCCCCAGCCAAATCCTCGATTTCTTGTTAGGCTCCCTCACTTCGCTAACCCACTTCCCGGAATCCCTCCGGCGGACTCCTCTGAACACCGGGTGTCGTGTCTCCCGGAATTTCTTCCTCCCAGCACGCTTTTTCGGGTGACACGAAGCTAACATCACATCTTCGTCGGAAAAATTCGTCGGACGACAGCTTCCACTTCCACTATCCGACATCGGTGACGAAACAAACCCAGAACTGACCATCTCATAATCTTCACCGAGAAAATCCATTACAAAACGTAAACTCAGAGCAGTTGAAGTTTCAGTTAATTAAACATCTGACTTGGACAGTTCCGACAGTGAACTTCCGAGTCGAGTTGGAGTAAGCGAAAGAAAATCTTTTTAGGAATAAAAAGATGAGATTTGGATTTGAGTGAATGTGAATGACATGTGAGAAATGAAATTGCTTTAAATATATAGAAGTTCTGGAGATCATAGGTTTCTAAAGTATGGATTTTTATACGGATTTAAACAAGGGGGGCGAACACGGAAAGCTGAAGAGGATCCAGGCTGTAGTTCTTTCGTGAGCGAAGAGGGGGGATGGGGATCCACGCTTGGGTTTTGCTTAGCCAGCTGTACCATTTTTCAGACAAGTTCTCCATACTTGAGGGGACGACACGTGTGGTTTTGACGTTTGACTTAAGAGGGTTCTGGATATAATAATATTTCTATAGCTGTCGAAGTCAAAAGCGACACTTTCAGCATTATCTGTTTACAATTGTAGCGGAGCGGACGATTTCCTTTCAGCTTCGTGACCCTTAAACTTCGTAAACCTTTGACCCTTTCCTGAGTATTCAAATAGGCCTGTAAATGAACTGAACGTTCAGCGAACCGTTCGTGAACCGTGCGGCGGGAAGTTCGTTTATGTGCGTTTATTTATTAAATGAACGAACATGAACAATATTTTTTGTTCGTTTAATTAAATGAACGAACATGAACATAGGTCTCGTTCGTTCATTTACGTTCGTGAACGTTCGATTATGTTCGTTCGGTTATGTTTGTTTATGTTCGTTCGATTATGTTCGTTTATGTTCATTCATTTATGTTTAACTCAATCTTCTTAAATCAATTTTGGTGACCAATTTGTAAGTACCTTAAAAATATTAATTAATCTGATATTCTGATGACCAACTCCATAATTAACCCAATTTTATTTGGAGATTAAATCCAATATGTTAACCTGTGAGGCACATCGCACCTATATTCATTTCCCCTTTTTTCCCCAAACCCTAGTGTTCACTAGAGAGTGGAGACGATCGCTGAAAGCTTCAAAACAAGTTATATTATAGTGCAATATGAAGTTTTACAGGTCTGTTTTCATCTCTTTCTCTGTTTTATTTGACTTCATAGTTGATATGTAAAGTTATTGCAGGTATCTTCACATCTAAAACTCAAAAAAACATCATACTTCTTTCTAGAAATAGATGGGAAGATAAAGGTAACAATCGGAAGTATATGAGCATCAATAAAGAGAAAAATATATAGAATTTGCCAGAAAACAAAACAAAGATTTCTATGCAATTTCTGAAAAGAGTGTAATAGCGAAAAATGATTGTTCATATGTAATCATGGACCACTAAGATAAATGTTATAGCGTTAAATTAAAGTTGTGTGAATAATTTAATATCTTTAAAAGATCGATCAAAATATTTGATATCTTCAAACATTTCATCACTGCTAATATACTCTTACGCTATTTATCACTGTAGATTTGATTATTTGTATTGTCGACTATTTTTCATGAAAGAACAATGGAAGGTAGGGTCTCCAACGTTTATGTTCGTTTATGTTCGTGTTCATTTATGTTCGTGTTCGTTTATGTTCGTGTTCGTTTATGTTCGTTTATTTATTAAATGAACGAACATGAACATATTATATTCCTTAATAAACGAACATGAACAAAAAAAATTTTGTTCGTTTATGTTCGTGTTCGTTTATGTTCGTCTATTTATTAAATGAACGAACATGAACATACCTCCGTTCGTGTGCGTTCAGTTCGTTTACAGGCCTATATTCAAATATGGAGGGGGGAGAGAGAGAGAGAGAGAGAGATTCTCTGAGGAAACTTTCAATCACAAATATGGAAGACAGATGATGAGGTGGGAGCCCAGATGATGAGGTGGGAGCCCAATCCCCCGTCATCTCTTTTTTTTTTCAGAGCCGATTTTCATAATTCACGGTTGGCATGTTGAAATACTTCCCAACTGCCATTTTCCACTACACGACAGAGCAGCGGCGGCGGCGGCTACCGTCTCTAGAATATTTTTATTTTATTTGTTTTGCCGCGTTAGAGCGCGTGTGCGGCTCCGCCTACTCTTTCACTTTGTGTGGGCGGTGGCTCCCTATGCCTTTTCCTTCCTTCCAACTGTATTATCCTTGTATTTATCCCCACAAAATCCATCGACGTTTTTGCATAACTGCATGAGTTCCATGTTTTCCATAAGCTCCCCATATTCTGTAGGGTGAACTATACTATTATTAATTTAGATGAGCATTTTTTAAATTTATATTATTATTTAAGAGTTTGAATTAGCGAGTGTCATTAGTTATTCATGTATCAATTTAATTAAGAAAACATTAAAACATTTTTCTTTTAGTTATTACAATATTATTTTAATGATACTTTGATTTGCTCATACTTCTAAAACCCCTTTAAATAAAATAATATTTATCCAAGAATCAAATTCATGTTTATTACAATAGTATATTAATTTATTATCACTCAATCTAGAAATTATTTTTCAAAAAATAGTATTTTATATAAAATATTTTGTTTCACTCATAATACGTATTATGAATGTAAAAGAAAAAGGTATAGTATCAATTAAAAAATATACAAGTTTTCTAACTTCACTTGTAAAATTAGAAAATAAATACCATTGATATACCATATATTTTTCTTAAATTTTTTTATAATCATATGATCTATTATTTGATTAATTTGAATTCAAACACTATAAAAATTCACCCAAAAAAAGTTTTTCCAAATTTAAATTATTTAATTCATAAATTAGGACTCTAAACTTCATTTAAATAAACAACGTTCTTCAATTATCAAACTTTATATTTATTTTAACTCTATATTTTTAAAACTTTGAACGTGATGGGGGCGGTTATTAGGGAAGACGGGTCATTGGGTCTTGGATAAGCCTACTTTGTTTGTATTTGGGTAACACAACTTACACAAGATTCGAGCCTGGTTGATTTAGCTTTTGAATTTATCTATTTTTTCCTAATAGAACAACAACAACAACAATAATAAAACCATATTCCCATATGCAATGGGGTAGGGGAGGTAGGGTAGTAGGCTGCCCCAACGCCAAGTTGAGAGCAGCTTCCGTGAAAGACCTCTTGCAGTCAGAAAATTAAAAATAAAGATAAAAATGCAATACATGTATAAATAAACAAATAAATACATAGTTAAATAGTCTTCATATACAATCTTCATATGCGCGTATGTAATGCGAAGTAATCCCCAAAAGTTATATATATTAATTCTTTCTCTTAATATTTTCGGTTAATAATTTTTTTATCCATGTTAATCTTTAAATTCTTTTTATTTATTTTTAGTTCACATCATGTCCCTCAAATTTTATATTTATTATTCTATTCTCTAATGAGAAAAAACATGTTCCACTTCCCCTAGACAAATTATTTATCCTTGTCCATGGAACTAGGTCTGTAAACGAACTGAACGCACACGAACGGAGGTATGTTCATGTTCGTTCATTTAATAAATAAACGAACATAAACGAACAAAAATTTTTTTGTTCATGTTCGTTCATTAAGGAATATAGTTTGTTCATGTTCGTTCATTTAAATGATAATCGAACACAAATGAACGTAAACAAACACAAACGGACGAACATAAACAAACATAATAAATGAACATAAACAAACACAATAAATGAACAACACAAACACACAAAAAATTATTCGAACACAACAAATAAATGTAAAAAAAGTAAACAACAAGAATAACAATTTAAAATTCTTTAATATAACCTGCAACTTTAGAATTAATTTGTTCGAATACGACAAAAACATACATAAATCATAAATAAGCTATATGAACATAATAAAGTCTTAAAATTAATTTGTTCAACAAAACAATCTTCTTGAAATCCAAACAACTTCAATAATCTTCGTAACATTTCAACTTGCCCTCTGTTCGAACATAAATGAACGAACATAAACGAACATGTAATCGAACGTTCACGAATGTAAATGAACGAACGAGCCATTTGTTCGTGTTCGTTCATTTAATTAAATGAACGCAAAATCTTGTTCATGTTCATTCATTTAATAAATAAACGAATATAAATGAACTTCCCGCTGTACGGTTCATGAACGGTTCACTGAACGTTGAATTAATTTTGGCCTACATGGAACAAAGATCGTTGAAGGAAAAACCTAATGATTCCATTCTTAATATTTATATAGTTAATGCACATTATTACTATCCTCTCCCCGTATGATCATTTACCCCATTAATTTATGAAAAAATAATTCATATCTTACATGAAACACAGTTGCCGAATGTAGCAAAAGCATAAGCAGATTGAGTGATATCTTCAACAAATATCTCATCCACTTTTGGAATGAAACAAATTCATCTTTTTTTTTTTCTTTCTGAAATAAGGTTCCTTTTAAACATGGTTAGAGGGTTTTATTTTCATTTTTTATTAAACTAAGGTGATCATAAAGTAGTATATATTCCAAATACTTTCAATCATTCGACACTAAACATTCAATCACCATGTTGTAGTTGTTGGTGGTCGAACTCGTGACCTCTAGAAACAACAACGATTTCTTTAACCACTGAAGTAAGTTGATTCCTGCGGGTTAGAGGGTTTTAACCCACCAACAAAGGTTCCACCATATTCTAAAAGATTTTGAATTTTAGAAATATATTACTTAAAATATAAGAATTTTGAAAAAAGAAGAAGAAAATTTTATAATAAATAAAATTCTGTATAATTTTTTTTAAAAAAAGTAGAAAATATAAATAATATTTTGAAATTTCAAAATTTTAAAAAGTTATGCATTTCGAATTTCAAGTGACATAGAAAAAGTGATGAGCAGTGGTTTTAATGGTACAATGTAAACAAGGCAAGAATCTTTTAACATATAATCAATGGTATGATTAGGTTAAGAGGAGAAGTCTATAGGAAAACTTGCTGATATCTTAAGATAAATATTTCACCTAAACTTTGTTTTGTTTTTAGTGCTTGAATAATGTCTTAATTGACAATTACATCTTTGACTTAATCGATACCTTTTAAATTAATTATAATAGATATTTGTATATTTTTTTTATTATTAATGTTGTTTTAATAATTTGAAAGATGGCAAGTACAAATATATTTAAATTATATTAATGTTTTATTGATTGTTTGTTCTTATATCATACTTGATTTTCCGGTGTTAAATTTAAATTAATTTATTTTTTTAATACCACTTTCATTTCCTTAAAAAAATAATGTGCATATATGATATATAGATATTTTAATGAGATCAAGACGTGATAATTTAACCAAGATTAAGTTTTATCACATTTATAGTGAATAAAAAATATTTTATATAATTTATTCAGTAGTGATAAAAGATTGATGTAGCGTTTTTGTTTTTTTTTTCTCTTTTAGGGAAAGGGTTGTGGAGTTTTGAGCATCAAAATCTGTGTATATCAGTAGGCATATCCCTGCTTAATATTCATGCTAGCTATGGCCTAAGGTGGAAGGTTATTGAAACTTTACGATTTTTAAATCTCATCTGCAAATTAATTTGATTGGTAAGAAAAGGAAAATTGGTGGTACTACCGTCTACACACACAGCTCTGGGAGGGACCCCAATGCCTTTTAGCTTAGAAATAGGCTTCTTTTTTTCATAACCACTAATATAAGAAAAATACCTGAGGGAAGAGGGAAGAGGGAAGAGGGAAGAGTGAAAACTCTAAATTCTGAGGATAGCTAGCAACCTATCGTCCACCACCAGGAGGGGATCGGTCGTCGAACACTTTATTACTGAAAAAAAAAGAAGAGAAAACAGACACTCTATGTAGGAAATTTTTGGGGTTCAGTTTAAGGGTAAGTGATGCAGGGGGATCCGAGACAGATGATGTTGAACTGTCAGATTGCACCTTGATGGCGTTGAGATATCATGAGTTGGCAGATCAGCTCAAAGGCGGGAATTGATTGTGATATGTTCCTCATTGAGGCCGTTTTGAGTGTGTTTCAGTCTTTTGGCATAACTTTGGCTACGGGTGTCGGAATCGCGCATAAGACTTCAATTCGAAAAGCCCCTTTCGACGCGCACGCTATGGCTCCATGTGACCTTTTTTCGACCTCAAATTCTGTCGCTTTCCCATCTGAATCACTAGTTTTATTTATTTTTACTATTTATGGTAATATTTCACTTGTCAGTTAGGAAATCAATTTAAATCTGATTTGGGCCGGATTTTTTACAGATTGTTTATTTTATTTCGAATTTTAATTTAGAATGATTTTCGAGATTTTGCTATTTTTGGTAAATTTCGGATAAACATGATTTTTGGCTATAACAGTCCGACTTGTAGAATGATTTTGACATCGTTTGATTTTATAATATTTCGTTAAACCCTAGAGACCGTTTTCTCTGTTTTGAGTGAATTTTCTTTTGTGAATTATCTGTTAAACCAGCCTACAGGATAATCGCTATCATACTAGGACCTGACGTGATGGTATCCTCGTTTTCTGGTTTGCCCTCGTCTTTTGATGTGCCGGTATTACTATATCGGTTGGGAGACCTGGAAGCGGCGGCAAGCGCAGCTACTTCCCTAATATCGGTTGGGGATGTAGAAGCCACTTGGGGATAAGAAAAAATCATATCGGGAAAGTTGAGATCGGTGTTGGGGAACTTTTAGGGCAATAGCAGCCACATCATACGCGGCTGCTGCCATTTCGGCTGTAGGGTACGTCCCGAGCCATATACGCGTCGTTTTACGGGGCTCCCTTATCTCGGACACCCACTTGCCGCTCCTGCTTCGCACTCCCCGATAAGTGGCCTGCTGCTTTCTTGCCGATGGGGGGTTGCTGCCTGCAGATTGAACATGCTTTGGTTGCTGCACAGGCACAAAAGGGTCAGGGATTTGGATTGTTGTCGGGGTGGGTGTTACCGCCATATTTGTGTTATGTATTGGCTGAAGGGTTTTCAAGGTTACTTTGTTTGGGGGATGTATTTATAGGGAAGAACTAAAACAACGGCGAAAGGGTTTGATTTAATGGTATCTTCTAAGTTTTACAGTTTTAAGATCATATGTTGGAACAAGTTACAGTTCGGTTTAATGTTCGAATCTCATTTGCTTTCAAAACGTAATACTTTTCTACTTAATAGACAAATAAAAATTGTGATCATAGGTTTAAATGTATCATTTAATTGCAATTTAAAAATAAAAAATATTTAGTATTAAAATAAATGAAATTAGAAAAATATTAGAATATAGTGGGAGATTATAAGGATTGAATTGATTTGGTATAGTTCTTGCTGTATCAACTTGATGTTTCTTAGGATATAATACATATATTATATAAAAAATTATATAATTTATAATTTAAGTATCATTAAAGTTTAGTTTTTTTAATTTTTTTAAGGTGATTAAAATGTAGTAACTATTCAAGAATATTTTTAGATTAATGACAAATTGCAAGCACTCTGTAAATGTAGTTGCTCAAACTCAAGACATTTTAGAAAGAACAACATTACATTTTACCACCGAGGCCACTGAATAAGTTCAAACGTTATAAATTAAAAAAGTTCGATTAAAAAGATTAGATTCATAATAATTCTTGTAGTACTTAATCTAAATCAATCAGTAAATTTAATATCAATAGTTATATCTAAATATTTATAAATCACTAACATATCAAATAAATTATGAATTATATTATCTAACATGTTAATATTGGATTTTTGAAATTAAGAAACCATCACATATCTTATTTATTTATTAAAATATTGATGAAAGTTAAATAATTTGTTACTATATTTATGAAATTAGGAAAATACTATAGATAATTTTTTTTGTATTATTAACGTATAAAGTTTTATATCGATTTGATATTATTTTAACTCTGATTTTACCTTTGAACTTAACCGGGCTGAACGAGTCATTGCGTGTTGGTTATCAAGAAAGACTGGGCTTTGGGTCTTGGTTAACCCTACAGTGTATGCATTTGGGAAAATTATGAGCATCGTATGGTGGAGGCACATATCATAAAATACAGTTACCAGCATTCAAACCAATGACAATCTACACTGACTGGTAATTCAACATTGTAATCTTCAATAATTATCTTTTTCATCCGCTTTTGGTAAGGTCTGAGTTCTTCTTCTTCTTTTCTTTCTAAAAGAAGGTCCATTCTTCCTAGAAAGAATGAATGCATATAAACTAATTGAAGGCTCCACCATTCTTATAAGCTCTTCATGAAATGCGAAGATTCAAATCTAAAGCTTGGAGCAAAAGAGAGGAACCGAAATATGTAATTTTGACTTTAATTATTGCCTAAACTTTTTTGAAACTTTTCAACTTAAATCTCACATTCTTTTCCTAAATATAATTTTTCACAATATATCTAAACCTAGACGACTTAGTTTTCTGGCCATAGAACTGCTCTGGGCGCACGATAGCTGGTCTAATGGGCTCCCGATTTTGCTCCGTCGATGCTGATTGTTGTTCTTTTTTTTTACTGCTTTTGGGTGTTATTGGTTTGCTGCTTTTCAATTTTATGGAATCTTTGTCTTCTGAGCTTGATTGGCGGAAGCTCTTCCGTGGAACTAAGGAACAATCCCTAGAATTCTTCTCACCTGAAATTCTTAAGGGGATTTCTACTGTCGTTCATCCTCCTGGCGTTATTGATGAGGGGATTGCTGAATGGGACCGTTCGGTGGTGGGGCAGTTTATTGGCCATGCTCCTACCTTTGGTTCCATGCAAAGAATATCAGAGATCTTATGGGGGAAATCCTCGAAGGTTAAGGTCAGTCTAGCTGGGCATAATCTTTATGTCTTTTCTTTTTCTAATGCAAACTTTTGAGACTGTGTGCTCGAGAATGGCCCATGGCACATTCAAAATAAGCCCCTTGTGCTTAGGAGATGGGAACCTAGCTTGAAGAAATTAGATTTCGATCTTAAGCGAATGCTTATCTGGATTCAACATTACAATGTTCCTTTAGAACTGTTTTCTAGATTGGGTCTCAGTTATATTGCCAGTGCTGTGGGAATTCCATTGTACATGGATTCTGTTACTGCCTCCAAGGAAAGACTTGAATTCGCCAAAGTTTATGTTGAGGTGGAAGCTGGGGCAGTTATCCCTGAGGTGATTCATGTTGCTCTTAGGGATAATTCTTTAGTGAAAGTTCGGGTCTATGTCCTATGGCTTCCTAAGTTTTGTGTACAGTGTAAAACTTTTGGGCATCTTGCTAGTAATTGTGTGAAGTACAGAAAAGACCCCCTAAGAGTAAGGAAGCTCAAGTTTGGAGGAAGAAAGTGAGCCTCAATAACCCTGGTTCTTCCTACTCCTTTATACAGGAGACCAACCCTAGTGGAAAAGTATTAGGGGTTACAGAACTGCGAGTTAGAACTGCTGAGGTGACTTATGTTCATGCTCTTCAGGAAATTAATGATGGCCCTTTACAAGAAGCTCATGAAGTTGCTACTGATCAGGTTCAAGGTTCTGGGAAAGATATGCAGGGTACTGAGATTTGCCCTTCTCAGGACATTGCTAAAGGCACTCTGTAAGGAGGATTGGTTGATGTTCAAGTTCCTATGTTAGGCGATTTTGATGGCACTGTTGGGGCTTCTAAGCAAAACATCTCATCGGATCAGTTAGGGGATGCTGGTATGACCTTACCTAAAGGAACTGGGGAAAATCTTAGTTGCGGTGGTGATTTTCCATCTCTGCAGGATTCTTTGATCCCAAAGAAGAAGGCTAGGGGAAAGAAAAAAGACAACGCTGGTTCATCCAGTAAAATGGAGACTTTGGCTGCAGGTGGTGTTATTGAGGGACCTAGGAAGGCTCGGGTAGCTTCTCTGGGGTTGCCATGCTTCTCAATGAAATTAAAGCTAAAAAAAGGATCATTTGGATAAGGTTAAAGGTTCAGAGGTCAATGTTGAAGCTAGTAGGGGTGAACTTCATATTTATAACTGATGATCTTCAGTTTTTGGAATGTAAGGGGGATTAATAATTCCCTCAAGCTAGGCAAAGTAATGAAGAGATTGGAAACGCTAAGAGTTGATGTGGTTTGTTTTATGGAGACCAGAGTTAGGAATGCTAATTTTTCTAAGGTTGTTACTCCTTTGTCTACTGACTGGAATTTAGCTACAAACTACGACTACACTGATGGGGGCAGGCTTTGGGTGCTTTGGAAAAAAGACCTCCCTTTTTCTGTCTTATTTGGTTGTGACCAGACTCTATCTATTGTAGGTGATGTGGCTGCCACAGGTTGGTTATCACTGTAGTATATGGCAGCAATAATAATCTGGCTAGGAGGGGCCTGTGGGGGCATTTGAAGCTTCTTGAAACTGCAGTTGGCTCTTCTGCTTGGATAATTGGGGGCGACTTCAACATTATTGCAAATGCTCAAGAGAGCTCTGACTTTGTGACTATGGGCTTACATAGTACATCTGATATGGACGAGTTCAAGGATTATTTGGTGGATTTAGAATTACAAGATCACCCTTTTACTGGTCCACTCTACACTTGGTCTAACAAGCAGGATGGTTCCTACTTGGCTCGAAAGTTAGACATGATTCTAATTAATTCTCACTGGCTGTTGGAATTCCCTGACTCAGTTGTGGAATTCCAAGCGCAGGGGGTCTCTGACCACTGCCCTGGAGTAGTCTGGACCCAGAAGAATGCTCAGGTTCACAGGCCTAAGCTTTTTAAATTTTTCAACTGTTGGACTGCTAATGAATGCTTTATGGGGGTTGTTAAAGAGTCATGGCTGCAGCAGTGTATTGGCAATGCTATGCAAATTCTTTTCAATAAAATGAAAAGATTAAAACCTCTGCTAAGAGAGTTCAATAGAAGCCACTTCTCAGATATTTCTGCTAGAGTTGCTAGGAATAGAGCAGAACCGGAATCTGTTCAGATCCATAATCTTGTTCATGGTGATCAAAGGAGGCTTGATGAGGAAAAGATGATTCAGGCTGATTTAATTACCTTAGAAGCTGCTGAAGCTGATTTTTATAAGCAAAAAGCAAAGGCTCACTGGCTGCACGAGGGAGATTTGAACACCAGATTTTTTCACCAAAGAGTAGAATCTAATAAGAAGAGAAATACCATCAGAATCATTAAAGATGAAAATGGAGTATACCATGAAACCTTTGATGACATGGCTGTTGAATTGGTGAAATTCTTCAAGAACCTTATTGGTACTGCTGATCCCCTGTCTAGGGGCTGTTCTGTTGAATATTTGAAGCCTTTGATGAACTTTTCTCTACCTGAAGGAGCTGTTGATTTCCTTGTTGCTGAGGTCACTGATAAAGAGATCAAAGATGCACTTTTTAAACAAGGAAATGACAAAAGTCCTGGACCAGATGGCTTTACTTCCTGGGTTTTCAAGGCAACTTGGGAAATTGTTAGTAAGGATTTCCTTGATGCTATAAGGTATTTTTTCCAAACTACTTCTCTTCTGCCTGCCTTTAATGCTACTATCATTGTTTTGGTGCCAAAAGCCTTGAATGCTTGTATGGCCAAGGGTTTTAGGCCTATCTCCTGTTGTTCAGTGATCTACAAGACAATCACTAGTATTCTGGCTACTAGGCTATCTGCTTATTTCCCAAGTATGATCTCTCTTAATCAATCTGCATTTGTTAAAGGCATGAACATTGCTCATAATACCTTGCTTTCCCAGGAGATTATTAGGGGGTACTATAGGAAAAATATGTCTCATAGATGCTCTATTAAAATAGATTTGCAAAAAGCTTTTGATTCAATTTGTTGGGACTTTCTGCTGATTGACCTTGAAGCTTTGGGGTTGCCTATTATTTTTTGTGGTTGGATTAAGGCTTGTTTCACCACACCTAGATATTCTATTGCTTTAAATAGTAGTTTGGTGGGATACTTTGAAGGTGCTAGAGGGGTTAGACAAGGGGACCCTTTGTTCCCCTATCTCTTTGTAATT